ATGCTTAAAACGCTTGAAATGAAAATTTGGGTGAAGATTATTTGAACTATAAAAAATGAGATTATAATAATAATAATAAAACGATGCGTGTTAATAACTTAACTTATAGGTAGTAATTATTTTGTGTTTAGAAATATTAAAATAATGAATATTGTAGAAATGTTAATATTGGTATTAGTTTTGGTTTAAATTATGAAATCGGATAACGATTATGCCGGTAAGTTGTCCATATGAGTTGAATTCCAATTGCATCTGTATTAGTAGGCTAACTGAAGGAACAAAAGTATACCGTGGGGAAGAATTCCAACTAGTGTTCCAGTTAGTTTGATACGGTTTATTTAGTTACGGGGAGATTTTCTCAACCTCATTTTTACTTGACCGTGATAGAATTTAGTAATACTACTAATACACATGAACGGTTATCAGAATAAAATTTAAATACATGAGTGATAATTATATGGATTTTGGAGAGATAGCTAGGAAAAATCGTTAAACATGAGTGTGTTCGTAAGAGACATGCTCTAGACTCAATGTTCTGATCTGCGATAGACTATTTATTTATATTTATACTCGCCGGCTGATTGGGCATACAAGTTAGTTGCAAGTATGCAGTTTATCATAAGGCGGAATACGATTCAATTGAGATATAGTGGTTACAAGTTATTAAAATCAGTTAGACCTGTGTCATATTACGAAGTGATGTGGTGCTGCAAGATGTATTTAGCTAAATAAGTCTTTACAAGATGATTAATAGTGAGTGATGCTCATGTGATTATCAGGGAGAACATAAGTTGTAACCAGGGGGAGTACACTCCCAACTCATGTCTATGATAATTGCTTGAACCTTAGTCAGTGTTGGGGTAAATTCGACATTGATGTTTTCAGTTTGCAGGAGATTTGCTCGACTGCTTATACTGATTATTTGCATGCATGATTGTGTCGCTAAACCATCAATTAGACTGACAAGGTTTTGAGATATTTACTGAATGAGCAACTGAGAGAGAAACATACTGTAATCATCTGTGATGGATGAAGATACCAAGAAAACAACACCATGTAATGGTAATTATAAGTCAATTTGTTGACCGATTTCGTTAATAGTTTCATTAATTTTATCAGTCATATTACGTGATTGTCAAGTTATGACAATGCTTTATGACGATATCCTGAAACTATTACGTTTAGCTAGTTATAGTGTTGATTGAGGATTAGTCAGTGGAAAAATAGGTATTGTTGCTTTAGGTGATTCGAAATCATCAGAAACTTATAACGTTAAAGAATCCGAGACGCCTAATTTAATTATAAATTTCAATTCAGAAATATTCGTTTAGTGTTAATTTTAGTAGGCTACGGAGTTTTGATTTTAAACGTTTGTTTAGCCAACAGCTACCTGGGGATTTAGTTATTTTATTAGTGCAGTTGACAGTACCTAAATTTTTAATCTTATTATCTAAACTATGTTCGCATTTTAGGCTGGTAATATGATAAACCAATTCATAAACCCAAATACGATTAGCAACAACGACTATGATGGGTTTACTGATAAATATTAAAGACGACTCAGAAGATTTCTAAATTTAGAAAACATGAAGATATAGTGCAACGCGTATGTGGGTCAGGTTAACATGCAGGTTCTTGACGTATATGACAATTTAAAAATAATGAACATGATCAGGAAAAGTAATTTTAAAGTCAAGACTGCTTATGAAACTTCAAGCAGGGATGTAACGCATTATAAACTTTCCATGAGAAATTCCTGCATTTAGCCTAGAGACACTGACAAATATATGGCAAAAACAACTGGAAAACATATACATGTTAAGTACAAAAAAAAATCATTAAGTAAAATAGTTGAACTCGCCTGGATTATTTTTGAAAATTAGATTATTCAGTGGACGACATATATAACGCCATTCGTGAGGAGTAGTAATGATCCAAAAGCATCCAGAATAAAACATACAGTATGGCAATCACTTCCAGGGTGCTTGATGCTGTTGAGGTCTTTGGGACTCGCTCTGATCAGAACAATCGAAAGAATCCAGATAATTGTGTGTGTGCCATCTAAAATGAACTTATGATTGCAGAAAACTTATAGCTGGAACTCACCGTATGTTTTTGGAGTAGTCATCCTCGTTGTTTGGCAATGGAACTCGAGAATATGAAATTAGGCAGGCAGTGGTCGGAAGAAAAGATATTACAGGATAGTGCATCGTTTAAAACAGGATGAGGTGTTAAGCGAAGGAACACTGAGAATTAGATCCAGATAACTATTTAGTCCTTGATCGCATTGTTAGTCAATGTATATTTACGCTATTTACAGGTCATATTTGCTAGAGCTTGATGTTTAAACAAGACTATGTCGCTGAAGCATGTAAATGCTATTACAGCTTGTTAACAAATCATCAAAGCTAATTAGTTAATATAGACGACCAGTTTTTATTATCGATTGAGCTAGTTTGTCATGAGGACTAATCAATATAACATCACGATAATGCATGTGAGCATTAATCAGAGGACTATTGGAATACAGGGTTAACATAAATATAAAATCGATCGAGAAAGTTGAAGTGGTAATAAGGATTAATAATAATAGGTTGCGTTTCTTTAGTTGGGCTCACCAATGTAGAATTATGGTCTAATATGATATTAGTACTGCTCTAATAATAGACCTAATCCTAAATTTGTAGATTCGTCATGATATAACTGCCTAATCTATAAGATCTTACGTGGAAGTCACACCATCGACTACGCCAACTCACTGTATCGTATCAATTACCAATACATGATGAAGGACAAGGTTAAGTTAGAGAAGGAACAATATATTTAATATGAATAGAGACCACGCCTGCATGGCCGAGCCATGCCACTCGATCAACTCCAGTCCATTCAATTCATTGTTCGCGCCTTCTCCATTGTTAGGTATTTCTCCGCGTTAAATATTGAATATCTATTTTCTGAGTAGTCTTGTGTTCACAGCTTTGTGGATTGTGTGGCTATTGTCCAATGCCACTACAGCCTTTCCGAAAACCATGTTGTGCCCTGGAGAAAAGATTTTGCCCTTCAACATAGTTTATAACAGCTATCCGAATGATTTTCTCCATCAGTTTCACAACTGCACTAGTTAAGCTAACGGGTCTATAGTTACTAACTAAATCCCTACTCCTAGCCTTATACACCGGACTTATTATGGCGTCTTTCCAGTCTCTAGGAAGTCTGGACTGTCTCAGAGACATGTCGAATAGTATCGTTAATGGTTCAGCAACTTCATCTGATATGGCTTTCATAATCCTAGGATGAATATCATCGGGACCACTGGACTTATCAGGTTTGAGATGCTGAAGTAGCCTTAAAACAGTATCTTTCTCAATGACTACAGGATCCATCAGCGAGCCGTCACGGTCACGATGAATCATTGGTCGTTCCTCATTACCGATAGAAAACACTTTACTAAAATATTCCGACAAAGCTTCAGCTTTTTCGACATCATTCTCTGTTTACTAACGGTGGAAGAATATTTAAGTCGACAATATCCTCAGTCTCATGAGTGATTACCAAATCCAGCAGAGAAGAACCCTGGTTAACACCAAAACGTGTGGGTTGGGATACATGCTGCACTAGTGCATGCTCCATTATTGTTATCAGTAACCTACTATCAAAGGAGTTTATAGATCCTTCTGTGGTCATATCAGTCCAACTAATATCAGGTGCGTTAAAGTCTCCTATTATCAAGCACCTGATACTATCACTCCAAAGATGAATGTGCTCTAAAACAAAGTCATCAGCTAAGCAGATTGGGCTCCGATAGATGACACCTAGCATAAATGTACTACATCCTATTGCCAACTTACAGCTAATGACTTCACAAGTGCCGCTGTCATGGGATTCGCTAGTAGAGGAGCGGATATTTATGCCATTGGCTATATATAACAGGACGCCGCCTCCTTTTCTACATCTATGTCTATCACTCCTGATGCAATGGTATCCGGATAATTCTGGAGTAATGTCTAAGTCATGGACTAAACAAGTTTCTGTCACTGCTACTATGAGTGGCTTTAACCTGTCTACTAGTGCTTCTAGTTCATAGAACTTATTTCGTAAACTACGAGCGTTGGCGTATAAAACTCCTAAGTAGAACAGCCTATCCACACAGGCCTTGGTAGCATTCGCTTCCAAGACCTGACTATCCGAAAACCCACTAGTCGGAGATTTTCTTCGCCGTTTTGCCGACGGGTTTCAAGTTCAGCTAGTGCTTTCTTCCTTTTTATTCTATCTTCGAGAGACATGTCAGGTTTAATTCGGATGTCAGGATTGTCGTGACAACGAGCGCTACTTAACAAGAGATCCCGTTGCTTCTCCGATCCTAGGATTACCTTAAGGAGTCTGCATGGACGGGGTTCAACATTGTCCTCAGTCCTCTTGCCTATTCTCGTGAACTGGTGCGGATGGGTGGCCGAGCGCATTCATCTAGGGTGTATCTAATAGATAAAATATTCATCAATGATGAAGACATATAGAACTATTCATTTTGGGGGGTCTATTTTACTTTGCAACAACTACAAGAAGTTTTTACGGAAAAGTGAACATTGAAGTACTTTTGAAGCCAATGTTTCTGAGTCTTTACACATAATAAGGTATAACAAGGCACAGTAAATTCGTCGTTTCTATCCGACCAAGGTCGAAGTTGGAGGAAAAACAAACGGAATTGATTTGTGACTTCAAGGACGCTACGGGTATGCTTATTCAAGTTTTAACTTAACATTTGTTAACTGTTAAGTGCTACCATATTTAGGAGTAAGTGAGTATTTGTTGTATGCTTGAAGCACATATGGGCCTGATTAACTGTTTTTCATCTCTTTTCTAGGTAATAGGTTAAGGGAACTACCATCACCAAGTCGAATTTCACTGTCCATCGATTCCTAACAACAATATACCTGAAGACTGAGCACAAACCTGTTTACGACTGGAAACTTCCCAACCTGTTCGGAAATCCTATCGCAGCCATGTTCGTAGTTCTCTCGGCGTTAATTGTTGCATGTAATAATTACTTCATAATGCTTTGAGATCATAGGTTTGGATCAGATCGTATGCTTTGGCGTGGGTCCTGTCACATCACCTGCTACTTTTCGAATTGGCTCAAATGATTCAAACATACTATTGCAAGGCTATATAAATATAACTTTGGCTTACACAAAGGTTAGGATCCAATTTCACTTTCATACATTTGATTTGCAAAACTGGACGAACCGTAATTTATGGTCAACCCTAAGGTCGTTAGTGACCTCAAGATAATTCACTTACCATGGCCAAAGAAGTGTTATAAGTTAATTAGTAGAATTATAATTAGGATATATAGTCAGAACTTAAGGTTTGGAATTCAAGTAAGGGTTTTCATCGCGAACTGACATTAGCTATTATGGCAAAATATTATTCAAGTACATGACTGAGACCTGTTATCCTAAATTTCGTTCGTTTGTCCATAAGTTTTAGTCTTGTGGAAAAAGTTGGGAGACATACATCAGACCTAATGACAAGGTAGAAGTATTCACAGTATCACAGCAGTGTTCTAAGCTTTTCTGACTAACGAAACAAACGGTGTTATTCCCCAAACTAGACCACTTGTATGTTCTTTGCATAATCGTTATATATAGTGCGGATACTATTCAGTAATGTTTTGTATGTGTGGATGTACGAAGACTACGAGCAAAATATATTTTGATCTTATTCGTGGGATATCAGTCTTTATCTGAGCCCACTTAAGGCGTAACCATAGGAAAATTAATGCAGTTCAGTGATCCTTTACAAATTTATATTCAAGACTGGGAAACACTCACATAACAAGGATACTTAATATATTGCTTGTCTGTCCAGTCATTTTATGAAGTTCCTTTAGTTTCCACCACAAATAACAAACGACCGGCTACTTTGACCATTTTACTATGCCTCTATTTAATATCAAAACGTTGGTAGTCACCTTAATACTTCATCACAAAATGGAAGTTTTTGTGTGCAACCACTCCTCTACTTCTTAAATTTGCTTAAAAAACTATAAAACATTCCGGTTAACTTCATTTTTTTCTTCACTTCCTTATTGCATTACCTACATCTGACTTCGATGCATGTAGGTTCAAAAACCACCTGTTGTAGTTTCAATTGATTCGGCAACTCAGGGAGGATTTCAAGTTTCGGGTTATTTCGAAAAGGAGATAGAAAGTTTGGACTTATCTTGGAAAACAGATTGGTCAAACAGTACTTGGAACCTTACATTTCAATTCGCCAAGTCTGAAAATAGTTACAACCTCAGTGAAATTAGTTTACTTTATGAACTGGATGATTTGCCGGGTTGGTAATTCATATTTCTTATTTTTTATTCTTAGAGTTACTTATTTTAATTGCTGTAAATAATTCCTTGTATGAGTTAGTGTCACTTGCCTATTATGTATCAGCCCTAAAGACCCAATATTTGACATGAATTTGTTGATCGATGTTTCTGTCATTAGTTTTTAAAAGAGGTTTCCAGCAATATTTTTTTAGACCTGTTGCTTCTCTTTAAACATTTAACAGTCCAATTTGACAAATTTTGATTCTGTTTTTACATTTAGGTTTAAGATATGCATCAAATAACCGTTCACTATTTTCCGTTACAATCGGTTCATACTATTCTTGTCAAGCTGAACAGAACATAGTTTTAAATCATTCCACACCGAATCCTGTAACTGTTAAACTAACTTTGTCTCAGTTGAGAGTTCAAGCATTCAGACATGGTTTAGAGCCTGAATTTAATGGTATCAGTAAGTTTTCCTTAATACTATATAAGTTTATTATTTATTGATGTAAAGGTTTATTAGCTATGTATCGTTTGTCGTTTACGAATAATGGTCGTTCGGTGGTGATTCGATTCACTATATTTGTTATTTATTATCTTTATTTTCAAGCAACAAACAGGGGTTGTTTTTGTTGTTAAATAAACTTATGTGCAACACGATTCATAGGGTATATAACCTATCAGTATCTACTTCGGTTATATAGACATGGTAACAATACTGACAGTTCACTATACTTTATACATCACAATTTCCCTTTTATTTAGGCCTAATGATAGTTTGTTAAAGGCTGATCATGTAGGACTTCTTTTGATTTGTTGAATGTTTTAGGTTTTCGTTCATGCTTGGGAAGATTCTATGTTTTTTATTACAGCAAAACCTGAGAGTTATCCAGTATGCTTTTGGATTAATGTTGTCATCAACTATAGCAGTTCTAAACCGTACATTAGTGGAAAATCAATTATATTTCACTTTATGGAAGTTATTGTTTGTGTTTCAGAGTTTTTTCAAAGGAATCTCGACAGTCCTGATAAATAAATAAGCTTTGACCCGACTAATGGGGTTCGAGTGGAAAGCCTTTGGTAGGTTGACCTACTTGGGTGAACATTCAAGGGGCAGACTACCACAAGATCTCTTTGTCAAGCCTGTTGAATGCAGCTGTTTAACAGGCGTCCACCATTGTGTTCGCTGATTTAAAGTTTCAAGAGTACCGTTTACATGTCTTTCCTTTGATTTCAAAGTGAAAGGTGGGGATTCCTCTGTTATTTTGTAAAATTTACCGTTAATGAATGACTGATCACCTTTGTCTTTATCCAGTCTGATCGCGACCTCAATCATTATCATCTAAGGAAAGTAATCACTTGACTGGTACAACGTATAATTCAGTTATTGGATTAAGTACAGTTTCAAAACCTGGTCATTTGACCAGGACTTCGGACATTGTCCTTTCTTTACCTCGGGTTGACACATAATTCTCACTTAAACATTCAGGATTCCAAGTTCGCGCTTGCCTCATGATGCAGTTTGATGATCTCCGAAGTGTATGTCCTATCCACTCACAACGTCTTTTCCAAGTTTGCTCTTCAACTGGGATCTGGGTTGTTCTCTCTCACAGTAGGCTGTTACTGATGGTATCCGGTCAACAATGGACATTGAGTATCTTGAGTAGACAATTGTCGATAAATGCTTGTACTTTCTTGATGATGGTTGTAGTGGCTTTGCAAGTTTGAGCTCCGTACTGTAGAACTGACTGTTGACGTTCGTATTGAAGATTGTGACTTCGATATTGGTTGACAGACAGTTGTTTTGAGTTGCATATGTTCTTCAATTGTAAGAATGCTGTCTTTGGTTTGTCAATCCTTGGCTTTATGTCTGGATGAGATCCTCCTTATTCGTCGATGACGCTGTGTAGGTAGGTACGTGAAAGTTTGCATATGTTCCAGAGCTTCTCCATCAATTGTGACCAGGTTGGTGTTCTCTGCGTTGTATTTGAGGATGTTGCTTTTTCCTTTGTGTATATTGAGACCTACTTCTGGAGAGGCTGCTGTTACACTGTCTGTTTTGACCTGCATTTGTTAGTGTGTGTGAGAGAGAGATAGAAGAACCAGGTCATCTGCAAAGTCCAAACCATCTAGTTGCATCCAACATGTCCACTGTATTCCTTGTTTCCCCTTAGATGTGAAGGTATTCATAATCCAGTCAACCATCAGAAGAAGGAAGGGGGGAGTAGGAGGCCTTGTCTGACTTCGGTCCTCTATTGCAACGCGTCTGTCAGCTGTCCTCCATGCACGATTTTGCACTGTAGTCCGTCGTATGAATTTCGTATGATGTTGACAATTTTCTCAGGCACACCATAGTGTCGAAGAAGTTTCCATGATGTTCTGTCCATATTCCTCAAGGAAGTTGATGTATAGTGACGAGTTGCATTCAGTAGATTGTCCAACGATGATTGGTAGTGTCGTTATTTGGTTTGTGGATGACGAATTCTGACGGAATCCGTTCTGTTGATTTCGAAGCTGGACGTCTACTGAATGTTTCACCCAGTTCAGCAACACTGTTGAAAACTTTTCCTGGTGCAATGCCTCTGTAGTTCTCACATTTGTTCAGATCTTTGTTTACGTGGGAATATTGTGCCACCTATAACCATTTTGTTGAGTGCACATAAATGTGCGAATCTATCGTCTTTCTCGTTCCCTTCTCCCAGTCAGTTCACGTCACCCCATGATATCTTCATATCCGGTGTTGTTCAATCCGACTTTTGAGTTTAGGCCTCCCATCAAGATAGTCAGGTCCTTTCCTAAGCACTTCACTACGGTTGATGGCAGCCTCGTAAATCTTTATCGTCATCTTTTCCATTATTGTTGGGTGTATAACATTGAATAACATTGATTGTGTCTCCTTCCTTTGTTTTGGATGATGCTTTGATGATCCTAGATCCATGAGATTGCCACCAAATAAGTGCATTTTGTGCTTGTTTGAACAAAATCGGAGTAACTCCCTGAGTGTATGGATCATTTTATTCCTCGTGATCGGAGTACAAAAGCATCTCTCCCAAACCTATCCTTTTCTGTCCAAATTTGGTTCAATAGGCTTCATTGATTCCGAGCACTATCAGTTTGTGTCTCTTCATTTCCACATCTATTTAATTGGTCTTCCCAGTGTCCCAGTGTTTAAATGGATATTCAGTCATGTTAATTTTCGTGTCAACCATATTGCTCATTAGTGTTTCATTTTGTCATATAAAATAACTCTGCCGACCATTTGTTTTATCGTTTGATATCTGTTCATTTTTAAACTGGATCAGTTGTTTAGTTTGCGTAAGTAATCCTCACTTAGCCACCATTCACATCAATTCAGACAATTGATTCCACAATAAAAAAAGTCCCATAATTCTCCTCCATTATAACAAATTTAATAACCATTTCTGTACATCATACTATCCTTGTATCTCATAGTACGGTACATGGTTCTACATCTGGCTTCATTATTTTAACCTATTTGATTTTTAAGTAGCGGATCATTTGTGCTTTGATTTTCGTTTTTGTTTCTTTCAACTAACCATTGAATGTTTTTGTTTTCGAAAATTTTCTTCCAATTAGTGGTTCAGTGCTTACTCGACTATCATTTAGATAGAGTTGTTCCAATTGTCATTGGTATATCGTTAGCGGTAATGATTATCGTTGCGCTGATCGCATTCATTATCACAAGTCGACGTAATCGGAATATCAGTGGAAGCAGTGGCAGTGGTGGCTACCAACAAATCTGAGTGTATGAAGAGACCTGACTATATATATATATGACTATTAATAACCATGGTTTATGATCCAACTTGGCCTATGATTTGCTATTTGTATGCCATGTGGAAACAATTTGTTCATAATTACTACGATAATTATACCTGTAATTTTTTTCCGGTTCTTAAAAAATTGATTACTGAAATTTCTTGACTACTCCTTGGAGCCCGTTTTATTTTGTTTATTTGGATCTATCCGTTTTTTCTAATTGCATACATGCTTTAAATCCCTTATCATCAAACACCAATACGATATTACGCTGTTCTTCTGTACTGAATCTCATAGATACATAATCGTTATTTATTTTGGTTAATTTACTCAAAATAATCTCATATATATATATATATATATATATATATATATATATATATATATATATATATATATTTAATTTACCTAATTTATTTCAGACAGAAAAGAAAATATTTTTCCAGTTTTCTAGTTTTACTGAGTTTTGCAATTAGCTAAAATCCTGTTGAAATTACTTTCTGTAAAGAATTCTTTCTATGTTGTAATGAATTCGAGAGAACTAACAACAATAGTTCAACTTTTCTTTCTCTTCTAGTTTCATTACATTCTATAAGAGAAGACAAGTAATTTTAGGGGAAAAAATTATTCAGTCTATGAATCTGAAGTTATGATTATCATATTTAGTGTTATGTTTTAACTCTCAGTGTGTCTGTATGGTCTTTCCCCGAATGTCCTGCTATGGCCGAGGGTGGGGAGAGTCCGTCTTCCTCATCAAAATGTTCTCACATGGCCACGCGTATGCAACAACTGTCAGGAAAGTCCTGCTCACCGCCTTCTCGCGGCATTACTATGGCTTACAAAATTGAGAGGATGAAAAGTGAATATCCGGCATTTTAACCGGGTTGGTGGATATGGAGGATCCACCTAGGGGAGTTGTAAAACCCTGATTCCAAACTACTGGTGTTCTATGAGCTCAGAGAACAAAACTTCATCAAAATCATCCACCTGAGCTACAAGTCTTCTCCACCATCTCATATTCTACTGTAATTTAACAATTGAACAATACATATAATTATCTGAAGTCATAGTTAATTGTAGTAATTTAAAATACTGAAATAAGCATTGAATAGATGTAGAAAGTGTTGTGCAAAAATGAAAGGTTTCTTATTTGCTAAGAGCGTTGATCGATCAGTTAGGTGTCAGAGATCGTCTGTATAGCAGTATTCATACATAGACATTTAGATTATATAAATTTTGCACACTATCATTGAATGGATTCTTAAGGATTATAACTGGATATTACACTGCAGTCTTAAGTAATAGGCTGATAGAAGTAATGATTAAACAAAGAAAGTGAAATCTGGTTTAAGTCAATTAATCCCTTTGATAAATTTGGTCTGCAGAAGCATTTGAACTGAAATAATTAAACTATCAGTTAAGTATTTTATAAACGTGGTTTAAAAGCTTTACCATCACCTCAAAGACTGGAGGTCTTGAGTTCGATCGCTGGTAGAGCAATGGGAGTCCAATACTGACTAGGAAAAACACCTATCCAGTTATACTGTATTTTTAATGATATGCTAATTGGTATACCGAAGAGATAAGCAAGATACTAAAATGCAACATAGAAAACATCAATCCATTCGTACTTGATAGACGAGCTCTGCAAGAGGTGGAAATATTTACCTACCTGCACAGCATTATCGATAAACAAGGAGGATCTGATGCAAATATGAATGAACAGATTAGCAAAGTAAGGGTGGTATTCCTACATTTGAAGAATATATCTGGGACTCAAAACAACTGTCAAGACAGTTCTGCTATACGGAGCTGAAACTTCGAAAGCTATTACAACCATCATCGGAGAGGTGCAGTTATCTATAAACAGCTTTCTAGACAATATTCTCCAGATCTATTGACCAGAGACCATCATCGATAATCGACTGTGGTAAAGAACAGATCAGGTGTCATTTGAGTAGTAAATTAGAAAAAGACGTTGGAGGTGGATAGGACACACATTTCAGAACTCATCGAACTACTTCGCAAAGGAAGTCTTAACATGTAGTTCTGATGTAAGAAAGTGAGAAGGTTGACTAAAGATTAGATGACATGAAGAGTGGGAGGGATATATCAAAGGCATGAATAACACTGGTGGTGAAACTGTGAAAGCGGGAGTAGGATATTGTTGTTTGTAGATTCTTCGTTGGATGCCTATGTCCTGCGTTTGTAAGTAAGTAAATAACTGCTATCGATTCATTACAATATGATTTTTCTGTTCTAATTCATCACAGTTTTTCTCATTTTGTTATTTGTTGTGTAGTTTTTGACCCATTATTATGATAAGATTTTTTTATGTGTAGTAACTGAAAATAAATTAGAACAACGCGAGTTGTTTTGATTTGATTTTTCGAACCATAATTCAATAACTTTTTTGTGTGTCATCCAGTGTTAGGGAATGAGTATTAGATACTAAGTGGTCAATCAATCAATGATTGACCTCGATTGTAATTTCATTAGTTTATAATACATTTATTAAATCATTAAATAATAATTATATATTTAGCTGAAGGAATGTTGTGTTGATTAGTTTAATTTGTAGGCTGTTTTCTACACAAATTAGTCTAAGTTGTGATACTAATAAAAAACCGAGGAGCACTGAACAACTATCTTGTCACAATATACAACTTGTAAGCAGTGTAGACCTACTAACCCTGTGAGGATCGAGCCCGAAACCTTCAGGTCTCTTAGCGAACTCCTAAACATTGATTTCTATTGATACGATTCCAACTTCAGTGAATTGGTAATATATGTATATATTTCGAATGGTATTGTGATCGAGATGCAATGAATCCTCCTCTTATCAATAATAATCGTACTATTTGTCTTATCCCTAAGGGTATTTCTACCATGTGAATAATTCGAATAACCAGAATATTAAACTCAATTTTGACAAAAAGAATTTCTAAAAGTTTGTTAATTTCATGCTAAAACTTTATATATAAAGTTAGTTTGTATAGTTTTAAATTATTACAACAAATATTGAATGATTTTTCAGATGATCAGGTTCTGTGAAGATTTAATTGATCTGTTTGCATTGAACAGTGATATCATGTGGAGAATTAGGAAAAGAATAACAAATCAGAAAAAAAGGCATATAAGTGAATAATATTGTTTTCAATTAAATCGACAATACTGTTTGCTTATGTGTATTGTTCTAATTTTCAAAATGAAAATCTTTCATATTTTAAGATAAATAATTGTTCTTTACTGAAATAGTTGAAAAATAATTAACCTCAACTTCATCCATGATCGAATTTATGACATAAAGAGAAGTTATGAAGTTGTTCAATTTTCTAAGTGTTTACTTTTGTTTTTCATAACACTAATAACATTCAAAGGCTATTTTCACTATTCATACAATCTTAAAAAGTATTAAAAGTCAGAAAGGATAAATATTTCATTGAAATTTTGGATTACTTAGCAATGCAATTCACAGCTTCAAATTCGAATGAACTCAGGATCTTTAGTAATATCAAGGACTTTGGTACTATTCAGTCATTGAATGGATGTACCGTGATCAATAATTTAAACTGATTCAACTTAAAATATAATGCGGTCTTCATCCAACGTTACCTGTGAATCCCTGTTAAAGTCCTCAGAATGATTGGATTAAGAGCTCACTGCTTCCTGGTCAGTGTTTTATAGCAGGATTGTTCTCTACGGATGATGTTGATGACCCCATCCTCGGACCTCCTAATTTACCTAGTTGTGGGACCGGCAGTAACTCTAGAAGAGCTACATGCTACATGGAAAAAGCGAGATCCTCAAATACAAGCGGTAAATTGGAATCCTGAGTGGAGAAGGGGAAAAGAGGAAGGCCAAAGAATACACTGAGCCGAGAATTCGAAGCAGACATGAAAATAATGAATAGCAGCTGAGAACAACTGGAAAGAATTGTCCAGAATCGAGTTTGATGGAGAATGCTGGTGTTCGGCCTATGCTACAACACAAGGATTAACAGGCGTTAGTAAGAAGTAAGTAACTTCTTCCTACTTGAACGTCAGGTTATTTTTCATGAGGCTTTAATGTTCTTAGCAAACACAATAGCTTAATGGGTGATACATTCTGTTTGGAAAACATAGGTTGTTATTTCATGTCTCAGTATGAATATCAACACTGTGATGCAGACACATTCAGGTGACGACTCTCAAACACAACAAAATACTCGTCTTGAATTCTACTCCTTGATATAATTCAAATAAAATAAGTTCCAATACATAAGAGAAATATTTTACCAATTGTTAATTATTGAAATACTATGATGATACTTGCTTACATTATCTGGTGAATGACTAAAATTTCGTGAATTAAATCGTGTAATATCAACATTGAAATAATACAAGTTATCATTAGTTGACAACACCATGTTCAAATGGAATGAACTCATATTATTATGTTTAATTAAGTAGAAGTATTTATTTACTTACGCCTGTTACTCCTCGTGGTGGAGCATAGGCCAGCTACCAGCATTCTCCATCGAACTCCAGCAGTAATCAATATCACAACTTGTAAGTAACTATAGCAACTAAAAATGACTTCTACAGTCTATTTACCTGTAGATTTTCTCAGTCTCTATTCATTTCTCTATTGATTAGGTTTATATAACAGGTAAAACATTGCCAAATGTTATGAAATCAGATGAATATACACAGACTGAGATTTATTACAATTCATTGTAAGTGACCTCACCTACATACTTTGTCTAATAATATTTTTGAAGTGATTAAATATATATTTACGTTAACAAAAAATGAACGGTTCAGCTATTGATTAACTCAGATCGATTGGGTAAAATTACTTTCAGTGCATTATATTATATATCAATTCTCATTGAAACAAGAAGACCTAGAATAACAAAATGATTGAAACGAGATAACCAGTCCCTCTTTGAGCACAGCTAAGAATACGTTATTTATGAGGTAGCATGTATGTAGTTCAACGA